CATGCACTGCTGAGGTAATCTTGTGTTAATGAACTGCTTGTGAAATCTCAGTGTGACTCAACATCTCTGCTTTGCCATCTAATTTGATGATTTCGGCAAGGGATTGGTAATGGCTTTCCATTGGTGATGGGGACATTTTTTAATGCATCTTCTGCTCTGCAATCCCACCTATGCAACCTACATAACTACTCTTCCTCCCCACTATCCCCAAGACAAAAGCAGAACAGATTTCTCTAAAGGTGCAGGTTAATGAAAAGGAGAAGGCTGTGTTGGTTCACACTTAACCCTCAACAACAGGTTTCAAATTCCAGAACCTTCCCTTAAAATCTATAGTCCTCATATAGTGTCCCTGCCGCACCATTGTCACCTATATTAAGGGAGTCTGTTTGGTCTTATGCAGGTTCCCCGTTTGTTAGACCTGAGTCAGTGATCTCTCACTAGCTCTCTCCACCATCACAGAGCCCTCATCTAGTACCTGATGGAAACAGAAGCAAACACCCATAACTAAACACTGAGTTGAACTAGAATCCAGAAGCAGAGAGGGAGGACAAGACCAGGCTGCAGAAACACATAGAGACAGCTGACCCGAACAAGAAGGAGCTAAACAGCCCCCCCCAGACTGATAGCTGGGAATCCAGCATGGGACTGACTCGGGCCCCCCTGAATATGGGTCTCAGCCAGAAGGACTGAGCAGTCTAAGGGACCTCAGACAGTGAAACCAGGATGTATTCCTGGTGCACACAAGGACCTTGCGGACACATCCCCCATGAAAGGATACTGCCTTAACCTAGAGACAGGAGAGAAGTCCTAGTCCCTACTTCAAATGACTTGACAGATTTACATAACCCCACCTGGATGGCACAACCCTACATGTGGACTTGGGGTGGGGGCATGGGCGGGGAGGGTGTTCAGGGTGCATGTGAGGGGGCAGAGAGGGTAAGTGAGAGGGAGGGAGGGAGGGTTGGAGGGAGAGGGAACTGGGATTGACATGTAAAATAAAGAATAAATAAATAAATAAATAAATAAATAAATAAATAGTGATAGCACAATGGCAGTATTATAACAAGCTGAGAATTTTGTTTGACTCTATCCATCAGGAGAAAGATTGGACAAAATATGGGGAAAAAAGGCAGAAGAAATAAATTTTAGTCTCTTGATATTTAAAAATATGATTTGATGTTTTTATTTTCCTATAAAGCATTTCACATTTGAATATTTTAAAATGACATGCCACTATTTACCTCTTTGTCACCCTAATCCCATTTACTTTAATTTAATAATCAAATAATACAAATCATATATATGTATATGCAAGTCAAATATATCTTACATATTTGATCCATATTTGATATGTTTTATATTATATATAATATCTATTTCTCTGCTACATGATATCATAGCTCATTGGTTTCTTAGTCACTGGTTTCTTATTTTCATACATTTGAATAAAATTTGTCATTAAAATTAGTAAAATTTCCATCACGTTTAGATGATATATTGTGTTGTTTCCGCTGATGGCCTCAAGATGCATTCTCCTGATGAACCGCGTGTTTGGAAGGAAACTTTGTGTCATCTTCCATTCCAGACTTAGTGATGCTATTTAATTGTTATTTCTTTTATTACATTTAAAAGGGAGGTGGCAGAAAAGAGCGCAACAGAATACATGTGACATGAGGGCATGAGGGAGGGCTGTCAGAAGGGAGGAGGGAGTCCAGCGAGGAGAGGGGAGGAGGGGAAGGAGGGCAGTGGGAGCAGAGTATGGAGAAGAACAAAGTATGTTGACATATATCTGCAGAAATGCCGTAATGAAACCCATGTCTTCATATGCTACCTTGAAAGATTAATAAAAAGAATTATCCAGATCAAAACAAATCAGTTAAATTATTTATTTTCAAAACTCTTTATTGTGTGAGGTGAATGGCCACATTCCAGTGGAATTCAGTGATCCCAGAACCACTGATTCTAACATAGTGACCTTACTTTTCCAAATCTGGATGTAATTTTATTCTCCCCTTCCTGTGTCTCCTTGCATTTCATGTCCAAAGTATTTTGAAAACTTTCCAAGAAACAGAGAAACATGAATGCTACAAAATATTAGACACACATCATATATCCGCTTAATTTTTGTTTGTCTGTTTGTTTGTCTTGTTGTTTTCTGTCCTGAAATGTTATTTGCATTATCCTCTTTTTCAACGTATGTGTTTTAGGTATTTAGGGCTTTGCCATAACACTTTTAAACAAATGTTTTACAACTACAAGTCTTTACTATTTCTAGGTTTTCACTCTTCTAAATAATAGTGAAGTCAACACAAAACAGGTAACGTTTATTTTTTAAAAGAAGGATGAGAAAGTTTAAAATGGAAATACATTTACAGAAATCATGCTTCCAAGAAAAGCTGTCAGGGCTGGAGTAGATCATATGTTCATTCATCAGTCACTCTGTGTAGGCCTTAAATGGCTGCAACCTACAGATGAGCAAAGCATACTCCATGTTGTGTAC